TGGAAGCGTGTTGAACAGTCTCGGACCTCTGATGTTGATAGTTCTCTCTTGAACACTGTGAGGGGTCGGCCAGTTATGCCCCTTATGTGTAGTGGAAGCGTGTTGAACAGTCTCGGACCTCTGATGTTGATAGTTCTCTCTTGAACACTGTGAGGGGTCGGCCAGTTATGTCCCTTATGTGTAGTGGAAGCGTGTTGAACAGTCTCGGGGCTCTGATGTTGATAGTTCTCTCTTGAACACTGTGAGGGGTCGGCCAGTTATGTCCCTTATGTGTAGTGGAAGCGTGTTGAACAGTCTCGGGCCTCTGATGTTGATAGAGTTCTCTCTCAGAGTATCTGTTGCACCTCTCTTCTTCAACGGGGGCATTCTGCATAATATTGCGAGTGCAAAATAAGGAGGCTGGTCTCGGGTGTGAAGGAAGTTCACCGTTGACGACCGTGAAATACGAAGGTGTATTCGTGTAGGAATTATGATAACACCGTTCGCGACGGTGAAGTCAGTGCCCTCATCTGGGTTGTACAATCAGTGCCATAATTCCCGAGTGATATATATACCTACATGATGGGGTTCTGGGATTTCTACTCCCCAAGCCCGGCCCGAGGCCAGACTTGACTTGTGAGAGTTTGGTCCACCAGGCTGTTGCTTGCAGCGGCCCGCAGGGCCACATACCCACCACAGCCCGGTTGGTCCGGCACACAAGAAAACTATTTAGTTTTCTATTGAAGATGTCCACGGTTGTTCCGGCAATATTTCTTATGCTCGCTGGGAGGACGTTGAACAACCGCGGACCTCTGATGTTTATACAGTGTTCTCTGATTGTGCCTATGGCACCTCTGCTCTTCACTGGCTCTATTCTGCATTTTCTTCCATATCGTTCACTCCAGTACGTTGTTATTTTACTGTGTAGATTTGGTACTTGGCCCTCCAGTATCTTCCAGGTGTATATTATTTGGTATCTCTCGTCTCCTTTCTAGAGAGTACATTTGGAGAGCTTTGAGACGATCCCAATAATTTAGGTGCTTTATCGCGTCTATGCGTGCCGTATATGTTCTCTGTATTCCCTCTATTTCAGCAATCTCTCCTGCTCTGAAGGGGGAAGTGAGTACTGAGCAGTACTCAAGACGGGACAACACAAGTGACTTGAAGAGTACAACCATTGTGATGGGATCCCTGGATTTGAAAGTTCTCGTAATCCATCCGATCATTTTTCTGGCTGATGCAATATTTGCTTGGTTATGCTCCCTAAACGTTAGGTCGTCAGACATCATTATTCTCAAATCCCTAACATGTTGCTTTCCTACTATGGGCAGATTTGATTACATTTTGTACTCTGTATTATGTTTAAGATCCTAATTTTACCCGTACCTGAGTACCTGGAATTTATCACTGTTAAACATCATGTTAATTTCTGCTGCCCAGTCGAAAACTTTATTAATATCTGCTTATAGATTTTCAATGTCTTCAACAGAGGTAATTTTCATGCTGATTTTTGTGTCATCTGCAAAGGATGATACGAAGCTGTGATTTGTATTTTTGTCTATATCTGATATGAGAATAAGGAAAAGCAGCGGTGCAAGGACTGTACCCTGAGGTACAGAGCTTTTACCTGCGCTTGGGCTCGATTTTATATGGTTGACTGTTACTCGCTGAGTCCTGTTTGACAGAAAACTGAGTATCCAGCGTCCGACTTTACCGGTTATTCCCATTCACTTCATTTTGTGTGCTATCACGCCATGGTCACATTTATCAAATGCCTTTGCGAAGTCCGTGTATATCACATCTGTATTCTGTTACTTTTCCAATGCCTCAGTGATTTTGTCGTAATGATCAAGTAGCTGTGAGATCACGCTCATCATCATACATATACATCCCCCCCCCACACACACACACAGGGTGGCCGGTGGCTGGGTGGACAGCACGTTGGGCACGTAATCCTGTGGTCCGGGGTTCGATTTCCAGCGCCGGCGAGAAACAATGGGCGAAGTTTCTTTTACCCTGATGCTCCTGTTACCCCAGCAGTAGATAGTTACCTGGGAGTTAGACAGCTGTTACGGGCTGCTTCCCGAGCGTGTGTGTGTGTGGGGGGGGGGGGGGAATTTGTTATTAGTTAGTAACAGTTGATTGATTGACAGTTAAGAGGCGGGCTGAAAGAACAGAGCTCAACCCCCGCAAGCACAACTAGGTGAATACAGCTAGCTAGCTAGCCCTGCCGCTGACCTGAAAATTTAAAAATTGAATGATAACTTGGACATGAGTGTCTACACGTTAAGGATAACATATGACTGGGAATGAGAGGCTCCGCCCCATTCCACACGGGGGAATGAGTTACACACCCTGGAATTAAATCATTTCAGTTGAGAATAAGGTATTCAGAGGACGGGGTGATGTGTTTGGGGACATGTGCACGCCTGAATATTGAGTGCAGAATTGTCATTAAAAATATCTGTGTGTCGTTCTTAATGTAAGTGTGTGCGTGCATGTGTGTGTGTACTCATCTAGTTGTACTCACCTAGTTGTGCTTATGGTGGTTAAGCTCTGGCTCTTTGGTCCCGCCTCTCAACCGTCAATCAACTGGTGTACAGATTCCTGAGCCTACTGGGCTCTATCATATCTACACTTGAAACTGTGTATGGAGTCAGCCTCCACCACATCTCTTCCTAATGCATTCCATTTACTAACTACTCTGACACTGAAAAAGTTCTTTCTAACGTCCTGTGGCTCATTTGGGTACTTTCACCTGTGTCCCCTTGTGCATGTACCACCCGTGTTAAATAATCCATCCTTGTCTACCCTGTCAATTCCCCTGAGAATCTTGTATGTGGTGATTATATCTCCCCGAGCTCTTTTGTCTTCCAGCGACGTGAGATGCAGTTCATTCAGCCTTTCCTCGTAACTCATGCCTCTTATTTCTGGGACAAGCCTAGTGGCATACCTCTGAACGTTTTCCATTTTATCTAAGTTTCCACCTGTGTCCCCTTGTTCGTGTCCCACCCGTGCTGAAGAGTTTGTCTTTGTCCGCCCTGTCAATTCCCCTGAGAATTTTGTAGGTGGTTATCATGTCTCCCCCTTACTCTTCTGTTTTCCAGGGATGTGAGATTCAGCTCCTTTAGCCTTTCCTCGTAGCTCATATCTCTCAGTCCCGGGACGAGTCTGGTGGCATACCTCTGAATCTTCTCTAACTTTGTTATCTTGAGATAATTTCGGGGCTTTAGTGTCCCCGCGGCCCGGTCCTCGACCAGGCCTCCACCCCCAGGAAGCAGCCCGTGACAGCTGACTAACACCCAGGTACCTATTTTACTGCTAGGTAACAGGGGCATAGGATGAAAGAAACTCTGCCCATTGTTTCTCGCCGGCGCCTGGGATCGAACCCGGGACCACAGGATCGCAAGTCCAGCGTGCTGTCCGCTCGGCCGACCGGCTCCCACGTCATGTGTCTTGTGTTTAACTAGGTATGGACTCCAGGCTGAAGCTGCATACTCCAGGATTGGTCTGACATAAGTGGTATACGATGTCCTGAACGACTCCTTACACAAGTTTCTAAAAGGCAGTTCTTATGTTGGCCAGTCTAGCATATGCTGCTGATGATATCCTTTTGATGTGGGCCTCTGGGGACAGGTTCGGTGTGATATCAACCTCCAGATCTTTCTCTCTATATGACTCTTGCAGGATATCACCTCCCAGATGGTACCTTGTGTTCAGCCTTCTGCTCCCTTCGCCTAATTTCATTACTTTACACTTTCCTGAGTTGAGCTTTAGTAGCCATTTTCTAGACCATTCCACCAGTTTGTCCAGGTCGTCCTGTAGTCTCCATCTTCATCTGTCTTGATTCTTCTCATAATTTTTGCATCATCAGCAAACATTGAGAAAAATGAATCTATACCCTCTGGAAGGTCGTTGGCATATATTAGAAACAGGATGGGTCCAAGTACAGAGCCCTGTGGGACTCCGCTGGTGACATCTTGCCCCTTTGATGTCTCTCCCCTCACAATTACTCGCTGTTTCCTGTTGCTTAGATACTCCCTTATCCACTGGAGCACCTTGTACTCACCTATTTGTGCTTGCGGGGGTTGAGCTCTGGCTCTTTGGTCCAGCCTCTCAACTGTGAATGAACAGGTGTACAGGTTCCTGAGCCTATTGGGCTCTATCATATCTACACTTGAAACTGTGTATGGAGTCAGCCTCCACCACATCACTGCCTAATGCATTCCATTTGTCAACTACTCTGACACTAAAAAAAATTCTTTCTAATATCTGTGTGGCTCATTTGGGCACTCAATTTCCACTTGTGTCCCCTAGTGCGTGTGCCCCTTGTGTTAAATAGCCTGTCTTTATCTACACTGTCAATTCCTCTGAGAATCTTGTACGTGGTGATCATATCCCCCCTAACTCTTCTGTCTTCCAGCGAAGTGAGGTTTAATTCCCGTAGTCTCTCCTCGTAGCTCATACCTCTCAGCTCGGGTACTAGTCTGGTGGCAAACCTTTGAACTTTTTCCAGTTTGGTCTTATGCTTGACTACATATGGACTCCATGCTGGGGCTGCATACTCCAGGATTGGTCTGACATAGGTGGTATACAAAGTGCGAGCGTGCGTGCGTGCGTCCATCCGTCTGTGTCCGTCTGTTTTAAGGAGGGTTTTATCTCCCATTTGTTATCTTTTAAAGTTTTTAAATGAAATGTTTAGCAATTTTAAACATTTGGAGATAAAATTTTAAATAATTTTATTTAATTTTTTTTTTAAATATCTGAATTTTAAATAAATTTTTAAATATCTGAATTTTAAATAAATTTTTAAATATCTGAATTTTAAATAAATTTTTAAATATCTGAATTTTAAATAAAGGCTTTATTTAGCAATAAATTTATTTAGCTTTATTTAGCAATAAATTTATTTACCTTTATTTAGCAATAAATAAAGGTACAAAGCACATGGGAATTGTGCTCATAATATTTCAATTTTTGTTTGTTTTGATCATTCATTAGTGGTAATCTTCTTTTCACAGAAGTGCTCGTTCACACTGAGGACCACGACCCCATCTTCAAGGAGGACGACGTCAGTCACAGAGAAGAGGTCATAGAGGAGGTAGGTGAAGGTGTTCTGTGGTGAGGTGGTGTGGGAGTGTGTCTCCTGTGCTCCAAGAATAAGGACACCAATTTGTAAACGGAAAGCAAATTGGAAACCTCATCTTGTGTTGTTGTGTTGGTGTGTGTGGTTATCTTGAGATGATTTCGGGGCTTTAGTGTCCCCGCGGCCCGGTCCTCGACCAGGCCTCCACCCCCAGGAAGCAGTTCGTGACAGCTGACTAACACCCAGGTACCTATTTTACTGCTAGATAACAGGGGCATAGGGTGAAAGAAACTCTGCCCATTGTTTCTCGCCGGCCCCCGGGATCGAACCCGGGACTACAGGATCACAAGTCCAGCGTGCTGTCCGCTCGGCCGACCGGCTCTCCCTGGTGTGGGAGACTATCTACCCCCTCCTCCCCAACCATTGTTCTCAACCCTCCCTCTGTTTGTCCATACTAAATTAACCCTTGTCAACTCTTTATTTACAGCTCTTGGCCATTTGTTTCACAAATTATTATTATTTGTTATTTTTTTGTCGTCAATAAATAATCAAGCATTTTAATTACAATGGCAATGACAGCCTTTAATAAATGCAAAAGAATTTTGTACCTATACCCTGGCTTTATTTTTTTTTTACGAGGTTGTGAATAGTGAGGTTCGGTGATATTAAAATGTATTACAATGTTTCTGTTGCTGATGAAATGTTGTTTGAACAGATCATTATAGACGAGAGTGGGAGTCCGACAGTGGAAGAGCAGCCGCCCACCACCCCCCCTCCCACGCTAACCGACAATTCCGACATGGAGGGCAATATACAGATCCACACGACTGTAACGGATGAACGACAGGTCTCCATCTTCGCTCAGCCCGGCATCCTGGCAGGTGCGTGGTCACTCCTTTCACTTTGGTCTCCTCCCTGTGGTCATTTCCTTCACCTTGATCTTCTCCAGGTGATCACTCCCATCACCTTGGTCTCCCCCAGGTAGTCACTCCTGTCACCTAGGTCTCCTCTAGGGGGTCACTCCCTTCACCTTGGTCTTCTCCAGGTGGTCACTCTCTTCACCTTGTGGTCACTCCCCTTCACCTCCTTGATCTTCTCCAGGTGATCACTCCCATCACCTTGGTCTCCCCCAGGTAGTCACTCCTGTCACCTAGGTCTCCTCTAGGGGGTCACTCCCTTTACCTTGGTCTCCTGCAGGTGGTCACGGATGTAAGCTTGAAATGTGTCATAGAGGTGTTAGAAAGTTTTCCTTCAGTGTAAGAGTAATGGGTAAATGGCATGAATTAAAGGAGTAGGTTGTAGAGGCAAACTCCATTCAAAACTTTAAAAGCAGGCATGATAGGGAAATAGGTCAGGAGTCATTGCATTAGACAACCAGAGGCATGAAAAGTGAGATCATCACACTCACACATACACAGCTACTAGGGAAGATAGGAAACTTAACCAATAGAAATGGCCTGCAAGAAGATCTGGACAAAATGTGTATGGCGTACACCGTATGTAGAATAACATTCTACACACTGTTATTCTACACAGTAGAATAACAACATACTGGAATGAATGATACGGAAGGAAATGCAGAACAGAACCAGTGAGGAGTAGAGGTGCCATAGGTATAATCAGAGAATACTGAACATCAGAGGTCCACAGCTGTTCAACACCCTCCCAGCAAGCATTCAAAATATTGCTGGAACAAAGGAGGATGTATTCAAAAGGCAATTAGATAAGTTCTTGCAAGAAGTGCCGACCAACCAGGCTGTAGTGGATATGTGAGCCTGTAGGCCATGCCAAGCTTGGCTTGTTGGACCAAGCTCTCACAAGTTGAGCCTGGCCTCAGGCCGGACTCGGGAAGTAAAAGAACTCTCGGAACCCTCTCCAGGTATGGTCCAGGATTCACATGTGGCAAATATAATTTAATGTGAATAAATGCCACATTATGGAATGTGGAATAGGAGATAATATGCTATACACAACCTACAAATTATGTGAAAAAGCTTTAAAGAATTCTGATAAAGAAATAGATATAGGGGTGGTCACCTAAAGACCACATAAAGAACAGTGTGCAAGGAGTGTGCGTTACGCGGTCCAACTTTAGAATCACTTTTAAGCATGAGGATGGAGAAATATTAAAGAAATTGTTCATGACCTTTATGAGACTAAAGTATTCATATGCAGAGGTTGTAAGGTGCACATGCATACCTCAAAAAACACATCAGTAAATCGGAAAAGGTCCGGAGCTATAAAAAAAAAAAATCAATAAAACAGGAGCTACAAGGAGAGGTTAGAGGTGTTAAATATACCATAGCTAGAACGTAGAAGAAAAAGTTGATATGATCACTAAAAATAAAATAGTAACAGAAATCGACGAAATTTATAAGTGTTTCAAAATGGCAACTCCAAGAACAACACAACATAGGTTCAAACTAAGGAAAGGAAGCTGCTGAAAAAATATTTGAAAATTCACTTCTGCAAGCAGTGGGGAAGACAGTTGGAACAAGTTAAGTGAGAAGGTGGTGGAGGCCAAAACGTCAGTAGTTTCAAAGCTTCATACTGGGAAGACGGGACACCACGTGTGTAATTCTCATCCTGAAAGTACACTTAGGTAATTACATTTATATATGTACAGTACTGTATATGTAATTAACCTCCCCCCCCCACCCTTCCTGTCTCTCCTCTCTCCCCCCCCCCTCTACTCTCATTCTTTTATTTCATGTGCATAAGGAAAACATATTTGATTATATCAATATACTGGTAATTGTTGTGGCCTTTATACTGCACTTGTATTTAACACAGTTATCATACAAAGAGATTTCTGTCCACAGCATTCATCGGTGGTGCAGTAGTTGGGCTCTTATGTGCCATCCTACTGGTGATGTTCATTGTCTACCGCATGAGGAAGAAGGATGAAGGCTCATATCCCTTGGATGAACCAAAGCGCATGCCTCTCACCTCATCCTACTCTCCCAATGATAAGGAGATCTATGCCTAAACTATCTCCTCTCTCAGAATACCAGCGGCAGCAGGGAGGGGGTCCTTGACTTCCTTATCCCCACCCCGAAAACCAGTAGAAAATGACCAAGAAATTAATGGTACAATGTCACCCACCACCACACCCACTGTACCACTACTGTGTTTGGCTGGGATGAGGGAATTAATAGTATCCCAACCCCTACCATGTAGGGCAACGTATTAGGACAAAATAAGTTCAGAAAACTTTACAAGCGATCAAAATATCAAAATTTTCTTCCCTCGTATTCCTCCAATATTTTGAGGGAGCTGTATTTGGGATGCATGTTAAATTAATTTTTTAAATATTATGGAATTGGTTTTATAGGATCCTGATTATTCATTCTTTTAGTTAATTTATCATTTATATCTGATAAATTATTCCTTAAAAACTATGAGCATTTAATAACAGGAATAAACAAGATCCTAGATAACCAAGGCCTTCATTGTGAATGCATTGCACTATTTTGGGACCCAAAGAGTGAATAATAACATCATATCAACACAAGCATTTTTATGCTGTTTATTGTAGCAACTGACCAATAAGGGGAAGTTCAGCTGTTAATATCATATTTGTTCGTGGTTCTCAATTCATCGGTAATGAGTTCACTAATCGCTCATATTGCCAGTCTTGCTGGCTCCATGCCAGCTCAAGAAAAAACAGGGTAGACAAATAGGTTCATTTTTTCAGTTATGTGCACCAAGAGTTTCAGTTGGGAACCAGGAATCTATGTTTTTAACCTCCTCCTGGAATATGGAGGATTTCTAATTCAAGTTTGATTAAGAAACGTGCTTTTGAGCTATACATCCTTTTGGGGCCGCCTTTTATATTGGAGAATGTTTTGTCCTTGTAATTATTCCATGCAATGTTTTAATTTGTTTAACTTTGAGACACTTTGACCATTTCCAAATAATACCTGCCATTAAAAATACATTATACTCTATCATTTTTACTATACTTTTTTATGACGTTAGTACTGTATTAGTGCTGTATATACAATACACATTTCCATCGTGTAGAAGGCACAACGTATTGTGTAAGTGATGGTGAGTAAAAGAACCACCCCTCGTTCCATGACATATTTCCAATTAGAATTTCACATTTTTTTGTTTTTTGATCCAGACTCTTAAGGACATTTGATTCTCTCCGGTTTGGTATTATGTTTAAAGAAAATGAGGGTCTAGCTTCTGTTTATTTTTATTTGGAAGGATTATGATCTGGTCGTTCATTTTGCAGCAAAAACACAACCCACTTCATGGCTAATTACTCAAGGGTGTGACTGAATCCCCCAGTATAAAAAAGGTGGTTTATTTTAGCACTTATTTTTATGTTCATTTATTTTTAATTTAATTTTTTATTTTTCATTTGATAGGCATTTGCAATACTGTATATGGTGTTAGAGAATGGGTCTTATTGAGGGGAAATTCCTGCCTTATTGTAATAATATTTTACTCTTTGAATGTGATGCTCTTGACCCAGTCATATATTTTATGACTTGAAGGTTAGAAACAAAATATTTTGTGAGATTGTGGAAGATTGTTTTGATATTTAATATTACTTTCTATATTATATAATAGTCAACACCTTCATTTATTATTTGCAATGAGCACAGTAGTAGTTAGGTTGACAACAGGATTGCTTGTTGTGTTAAGGGCTACCCGGCTTATCTCTTATCTCAATAAGCAGAGGCTTCACTGCTGGACTCTGGTGCAATGCAAGTCTTGTCCCGCCACATGGGCCTAGAATTTAGGCTTATCTAGTGTTGGCGAGGACATTGTGCACACATTGTGTGGGGATGAGGGAGGGGGGGGATGTTGGTTAGTACTGTTGACGGGTTATCCTAGCTTAACTCCCCCCCATCATAGTGAACTGGGCCTGCCTTGCTTCACTAGTATTGTGCTAAATCTTCCAGTCTTGAGTGACGTGCTCTGACTCTGCCTCCGTAATCTTGGCAGGTTTTTTGGTATGGGTTTCTCAACACTCATATTGGGATTTGCTTATACAGTATGACAATATTTAATTTAATTATGGCTTTGGATTGGGTATTTGAGCTCAATTGTAAAATAAACAAAATGGGATTTGAAGGTGATGTCTTTTTTTTAATATGTATTTTATTTACTCGTAGGATAATCGAACTCACTTTCTTGTACTGTAATGGATTATTTATGTATAATGAAAAGCAAAAATATATACAAATTGGGATGGGAACATTACATAATTACTCACACAAGCAATAATGGTAAAGTAATGACCTGGAACCATAAGGAAATAGTAGCTCAACATTATTCCATGATATGATATTAATGCAGTCCACCTGCCAAAACAAAGGCCGGACAGAAAATGTATTTGCTAAAACACAGGACACATTTTGTCTTGCAAAACAAATTTAACATGTAAATTGCTCTGCTGGGATTGAACTTTGCTCCAGTGGTACAATAAATCTCAAAGCAATCCTTAAATCAGGGGTCAAATATGTTTTACAGAGACTGAAGGGGTTTTAATATATTTTTATAATTGGATTGGATTATCAGTCAATGAATTTTTTAATGCAGCATTATCTTTTGATCTTAATAGGTTGTTGTTTTTTATCAAACAACAACATTGAAAGCTTCCTCCCATTATTTTCATTTCGTCTAAGAGATAGTTTTGTTACATACATGTGCGTGTGTGTGATGTTTAAGAGAGCTTGAGTAGAGATCTGCAGTGACTGAGAAATGACCCACAGACAGACATTATGCATTTATACCAATGGGAGGAAGTACGGCTGTGCAACTCACACTGTTCAAGCATAAGGTGTTAGAAAATGATTTTGAAGGTGCATGTGTGTGTGTGTGCATTTCCCACCGCCAAGTCCTGCTGAGTGCACCAGCTGATTGACAATCATCCAGTTATAAATGAAGGGAAAAAAAATAAAGCTACTGACCACAGTCTGATAGTGCAGACATAAATGTACAGTACTTGATTTCATTAGTTTTTGTAAACAAGATGCACAATGTGCAGGCAGCCACGCAGAGTAATAGACACTGGATATAGATTTCGATTTGCAAACTAGACAAAGTTTTTGTAATGAAATGTTACAGTATTTTGAAAATGAAATTTCTACCCAGTGCCAGTGTATGTGCTTCATTATCAGTTTTATAAATTTGTTTAATTTATAATTGTTTTACCATACCATTTGAGTTTAGTAATTGCTGTCAAAAGTATTTTAAAATTTTACCAATATTGGCTGTGTTTTTAAAAGAAATGAACTTTATTTATTTACTCATTTATAAATTTGCATATAAAACTAAACAAGGTGAGAGGGTGGCCCTGGGCAAGTTTGTGCAACTGCTCATGCACATACTCGCGCACACTCGCATGCACACACAAACACATACACATATGCATGAACACACACAAACACACATTTACACACATTTGCGCGCACACACACACACACACACACACACAAATAAATTTAGACACACAAAATTATACCCACACTCAAACTTTCATAACTTTCCTCGGGTTATCGGTAAGTGCTGACTCAATGTAAGCGTTCACTGGCATGCTCCATGTGCTGTGGAGGTGTGGTAGAAACTGTACTGGCCTGAGGTTCACTCTATGTATTATTCTAAACTAACCAACTAACTAGCAGTCACTTTATTAATGTGTTGTACTGCACAACTGTTTTATAACATGTCTGTTCCAGTCCAATCCGAACCTTTAGATTTAGCCAGGGCATCTCGGGGGAGAGTTTTCCATTGATCAAGTGTGCCAAGTATATTTTCGTATCTTTATTCATATTATTTAATTAACAGTTATTAAGAACACTCATTCAGATATTTTTTTTTTAATTTTGAAGCTTCTGGATTCCAAGTATTATATTGTAGTAATCTTATAATGTTTAATTTAGAAACTACTGTCACATTATATAGGTCACTTACTCAAAAATTTTAGAGCTTATTTGAAACCACAGAAACCGGAAGGTCTCAGGTAATCAAATGTTCATGTTTTTGTCTCTATTAGTTTTTAAATTATTCTTGAGAGCTGGAGGAGAGATACCTTACCAGTCTCCTCAGTGTTCCAGCAAGCAGTGTTAAGAAGCTGTCAAAGTTTTTCACCACAGAAACCATTCTTCATAAGAACTTTTTTAAAACTTGGCAGGATTCTCTTATCAGAGCTGTATGTGTACAAATGTGGTGAGATCAATAAGCAAGTCATGTAGGTCACTAATAGACTTTAATCTTGTGTATATAAACAAGAAACAGGGAGTCCTAGAGAGGACCTGCCATTGACTTGAGTGTGACTGATACTGTCTGAGATAAGTATCAACTGGGGACTCCTGGCTGTCACTCGCTCAGCTTCATAACCACCTACCTGCACTCGCCTTAATCACACCAGTCTTTTATTGTTTGTTTTGTACAGAGAAGCTGAATTCTGGTGGTAGTTCCCAACACATGGTATATAGTTTCTATTTTTATTATATTAATAGTAGAGAAAGATCTTTTATGTTTAAATTTGGTATTAATATGTCAGTCAGTTATTTTGAATAGCATATAATGTCACTATTGTATATAGCCTCTATGGGTGATGCCACAGATGAAACATTTGTAATGGTGATAGCCAAAGATACAAGTTGGTAGTGAGTTGAAGATGTGTGTGTGTGTATGAGGGAGTGGAGTATCACCAAGGTGTTGTCTTGCTGAGGGAGCTGACCAGTGGCTGTGTCGGCTGATCCGAGCCTCCGCTAGCATTAGTCACAGCGGCTGTTTTTTCTCATTTCACAGTAGGTAGGCAATGAAGACCACCATACTTTAGACTTGCATCAGCTGACTCTGTCACAATTGTGTGTATAGTATTTTGTAAAGGTGAGTTTGGGTCACAAGGATGTAGGTGGTCCCCAGTCTAACTCATTTTGGAAGATGATCATTAAGAGCACTGGGCAACTCTTGCTACTGTTTAACGCATCACTATCAGGAAATGTAATAAAAAATTAACCAAATTTTTAATACAAATCTAGAATTTTCAATGAATAACCCACACTGCATTTACAAAATTAAAAGTTAATGTTTACAAATTGCTTTGTGAAAGTAAAAAGTTGTTCTGTGCATGCTTGTGATCCTGCGTCCAATGTCATATTGTAAACTGTATATTAACGTTCATACTGATATCCTTTCCTAGACTGTTCATCTATACGGGGTCCTTTTGTACTTGTATGACTGACAACCTTAGAGTAACATGTGTTCAGTAAGTAGTACTTGGAAAATAAATCATTTATGGAGCAGTTTTTTTATTATCCTGAGTACTATCATCATCTACTGGGACCAGTTGAAGCTGACCTCAGGCTGGCCTTGGGGAGTATAAGAACTCCTGAAACCCTCTCCAGATATACTCCAGGTATACCTAAGGTATACCTGGATATACTTAAAAAAAAAGAAATATAATTAAGTGTATGAATACCACATTTTAAAAATGGAAAGTTATGTTTGTCTTGAAATATTTCACAAAATCTTTTAAAAAAATCACTAAATTATATTGAAAGAATTAGACATGAGAAACACAAGTAAAGGTCCACTACAAAAGTATAGTAGTTATGCAGTACTGCATACTTCATAGTAAATATTTTGATAAGAAACACTAACGTTGAGGAAACTCTATTTGTAAATAACATTTTGCCTATAAGTGAATTTTGAAAGTAATAATTTAGCAAGTATGGTAAAAATTGTATATTTTGATGGAGGGCATGGTGGCTGCAGCTTCTAAATGCTGACTTCTATTGTTTGTTTTCTTCTTGGATAATGAGTTTTGCATCCATTAGAGTTCATGGTGCTGCTTCTGATTCCCCGTATGACAGAAGCATTGTTGGCATTACCTACCGGGCAAGGATACAGTACGTATTTTATTTGCAAAAACTTTCATTCAAGTTCCTAGATGTTTCACTTACATATACAGTACTGCACTTTTTCACATTTTAACCTACATGTTATAGTGTTAATCCTCAGTCATGGCAACCTAGTTGTTAGTTTTTCTATACAGAGGTAGGTACAGGTGCAGACGACGACTACTGAGTCCTGTTAGCAGGCTGAGAACTTGCCCTTCACATAGCCTTACCCACTAATTTTTCATGGATGAAGAGAGATGACTAGTTAACCCTCCCTGGCCAGGACTAGAACCCAGACCAAATTGCAAGGTGCCGGCAAGTTCTGCCTCTAGATGGGGATGATGATAGTGGTGAATGATCTGTGCACAACCCATGCATGGTAGTTGCTTTATTGCATGTGTCTGAGATGTTATCTGCTTTCCCTAATTGGATATATTTGGTATTTAAGGCATTGGATGGTATCAGAGATGTATTTGCATTCGTCTTCAAGGAACCACTTCCCACACAATCAAAATACAAACCCATCTCAAGCACCCCAATCCAAACTATTCTTCCGCCCATATTCTTAAAAACTCCTACCCTTATCCCATCTATACCCTATGTGCAATTAACCACAACACCATATGCTAGCTCATAGCCACACACTAATTCACACCACTCATCCACATCTCTACTCAAATCCCATCCACAACCAACCTCATCAGTCATGTCACCCATATCCCCCAACCCACATCACCGACTCATTATAGCATCACACTCCCACCAAACCTTACTTGTTTCCACTCACTTATTGAAGGAGGGCCAGGAATGAGTACCTCGGGGTGAGAAAAGAAGCAGAGATAATTTGAAATTATTGTAGCAGATAAAGCAAAGGCTCAACCTAAGCTGCTTCACAGCCACATAAGAAGGATGTGACTAAATTAAGGACAGAGAAGGATACATTTACAGAGACTGAAAGAGATTGTGAGGAGTTAATTCCAGGAGATCGTCACCTTCAATGGAAATGAATAGGATCTTATCAAACTGAACTGGAGGACTTTGAGATTACCAGAGATGGAGTAAGAAGGCATCGGCTGAAGCTGGTCTCGGATAAGGTGGTGGAACCAGAGAGAATATCACTGTGTCGTCACGTCAGAATATTAGAGACGTCAGAATATTAGAGAGTATCACTAAAGAGCCTAAGCTCTTTGCTGGCTGCTTACTGTACATAACTGTACATTATATATGTACTGCTTTTATATATAAATAGTCACAAAGTGGTAAAACTACCAGCAAGGTGGATGACAGCCAATGTAGTGGCAATGTACAAAAAGGGAGACAGTAAACAACAGGCCAGTATAATGTCTTTGCATATCATGCAGGTGATGTGGAAGACAGTAAGAAAGAAGTTGGAAGGACATCTAAGAAAGAAAGATTATATAATGCATAATTATCATGGACTCATATAATTTTGTCCTCACACTCCTGGTAAATTGTTATAACCAGTTGACAGAAAATGGATAAAACATTAACTGACTGTTGTCTTTTGGAATGTTAAAAAGCTCATGCCATGTAAGCTGTTTGATCCGGGTTCAAGTCTTGGCCAGGGAGGATTGACTGGGTGCCAATCCTTAATTGTTTGCCCCTGTTCACCCAGCAGTAATTAAGCACCTGGTTGTAAACCAATTGGTTGGTCATATTCCCCATGAACCATGGGAAGGAAAAACTCTCAGCCTGCTGACAAGAATCAGAAAGTACTTACCTATTAGTGACTATGGGGAAGTGAGGTCTAGCTCTCTCTGCCTTGCCTATTAGTCCTGTTGCACCTGTTGCATTAAAGATTCACTATTCTAACATAATAATTAATTTTTGATAATTTTTGATAATCAAAAATAATTTTGATATCAAAATCTTTGTCAAACCTGTCCTTAAAGTTGTGAGTGAGGTGGCTTCCACAACTTTTCCCTCTTAGTGCATTCCACTTGTTGACCACCTGTACAAAGTATGAATATTTCCTTATATTTCCTTGTAAGGAAATACCAAAACATTTTAAGGAACTTTGACCACCTTGACAATTATCTCACTCCCACTACCACTTCTATGGAAATGATATCTTGTGTGTTATAAAATGTGGCTAATATGCTACTTGTATCAATGGAACCATATATTCCCCTTGTTGATATGGCAAGATACAATACAATATTGTTATCGTTCTCAACCTATTCTGGAAAATCAACTATAATAGCTTAACATGACGTGTTTGGGGCCACTATAAAAACAAAATATTTGAATTTAACTTATCCAAATGAGACTGCTGTTATTGATGATTTGAAGCTGCATACAGTATTGATATGCTTTATTCTATAGGCACTAATGTTCCTCCCTCTCTATTTCAGCCAAGGACATGGATTGTCCTTGGCATTCTAAAATACAGTAGTGCTATCATCCAAGTTGACACAGGCACTCAACCCTCTCACTAGAAACTACTGTATCTAGTACCCTTAATATACAGTAGTACCTCCTTTTACGAATTTAATCCGTTCCCAGAGACGGTTCGTAAACCGAAACGAATTTACCCATAAGAATTTATGTAAATTGAATTAATCCGTTCCACACTCCCAAAAATTTTAACTTCAAAATACATTTCATACATAATACTACAAATATTTTGTATTACAGTATGTGTAAGTTATATCTTACCTTTATTGATAATTCTTGTTGGCCTATGGAAGCCTGTTAGGAAGGGAGGGAAAGAGGAGAGGTGTTAGTGTTTGAAAGGGGGAGTCCCCTTCCATTATAACATCAGGCACTGATAACTTCTCTGGGGTACTCTCTCTCTCCTACGTTTTGCAGGCATACAACTAGGACCTGGTTGTGGCTCACTGCTTGCTTGTTTTACTAAGAACCTGTCTATAGACACTTGTTTTTTTCCTACGTTTTAGCACATGTCTGTAGTGAGACATCATATTGTCATTAAATACAGCTATTCATGAAAATTGTTACAAAATATCATACCAAGTATTATCTAAATAACTGTGCTCCAATATGTAAGTTTATAGAGATAATCCTAAGGGACAATATCATTCACCGTCTGACAATGCACAATCTTATAAAAGCATTATAGCACATTTTTTGTAACACATTTTTTGCACAAATCTTCCTGTACACAAATCTTCCTTACACAAATCTTCCTGTACAGTATAAGAAACCTGCTCACATTTCTGGAAAGTGTTACCATGTCTATTACACAGATAAATGACTTCCAATAGATGTAGTGCACATGGAATTAATGGTAAAATACTTGAATTGATAAAACAATGGATTAAAACATAGCAAAGGGGTCGTCCTAACAAATGAGACTAACTAGAAAAACGTTGTGGGTTCCATTTTAGGGCCAACTCGTCTTTTCTTTTTTGTAATATAAATCAACAACAGAGCACAAGCTCCTGAAATTTGCAGGTGAAAGAAAAGATCAGCATGCAGAAGATGGCAAATGCTCTTTAATCTTTAAAAGTGAAGTACCTTATGCATGTATGCAATACAGTAATGATACACCACATAACTACCATATATAAATACAGTACAGTAATATGATTCAGCAGCAGATTGAGAAAGAAAAGGACTTTGAAGTAATGATTCACCAGTCTTTAAAAACTGCTTAGCAACTAAAGGAGCTGTAGAAAATAAAGACAAAAATACTTAACAAATTTTTAACTGAAACGAAAAGGTAAGATAGTTATCAGGAGAAAGGATTAAGCTATTACGACTATATAACACTATATAGAGACTATCACTCTATCATCTAATTGAAATGCTTGGACAGCCTAAATGATAGGAGAAATGGTCATTCAGCAATACCCAAACACGGAAAGCTAGTTCCTGAGAGGACAGTACTGTAGTTAGTGTATAGCCAAAGGTACTGGGTTCAATTTCAAGGCAGGACAAAAGCATTTGTGTAACGTTTCCTTTCACCAGGTGCCTCTGTTCACTTAGCAATAAATATGTACCCCAGCTTCCTGTTCTTGTTGTGATAACTGGAGATGATGGCCCTTATGTAAAATTTAGGTAAACATAGTTAATACAGTACAAACAACAATTATGTAACCAGAAATGTCAATGTAATTTTATATAAAGTAGAAATGGAAATGTGACAATGGTAAACACCCACTGGGGGTCTTATTAGGACCTTCGTGTCATCCTCTGTCATTTTTTTTTGTGTGTGTGGAATTGCTCAAAAGGTGAGTATTTGGTGCACCATAACCTACTACTCACAAATTGCTACCTTGTCTTCCTGACTTGGTGCTTTCTTATGATAATTACCACTCACAGGATGAGTGTGAGATACACAATAAACCATCACTCACATGGATGAGTGTGAGATACACAATAAACCATCACTCACAGGATGAGTTTTTGGTGTA